CCTCACACCAAAACCCCCTTCAAATTCAGTTCCAGTCAGTTTTCACACATTTACCAGTGTTGCATTACCAGCGACACCCCCAGACTATTACATCCTAGAGGAGGCCGCAGCATCTGGCATGCCATCATCTCCACACATCCTATAGATCAGTTTCATTCCAGGTATTTAGGCTAAGCAAGATTCCTTGAATGCAAACCCTCCAGGAAAACCCATCGGGATGAACTGTGCATGCTCACCGTCTTTCCATATAAGTGTGAAGCCGAGCTGGAAGCGGTGGCGGGCGTAGCTGTGTGTGTGTCTCGGGCCCAGGCAGGACAGCAGTGGTGCGGGCACGGTGCTCACCGACGAGTGCACATGGACACTGGACAGCACCTGGTAGCGTTGGCACAGCAGAGCGTGGAGAACCAGCAGACTCAGAGGAGGCTGCGCAGGGTTAGCGTTGATCACGATGTCCCGCAGCGCACCCAGATCCTGAGCGGGAATCAAGACAGAACAGTGAGTAGCTGTTTACCAGATAACTAAAATATATCATGTCTAATGAGGGAAAAAGTTGCTGTTTTTACCCTGATATTTAAAAAAAAAAACATAATTTAAAGTAGTTATTGAAGCTGATCATGCCAGAAACGTATACCGGCCCATGCCTAGTTAGGGTGCTGATTGGGACACACCCAGAATCTTCTTTTTTTTTTTTGGGGTGAGCTGTCACTGACGGCGCCTGTAAACGCTCACCTTGCCCAGCAGAGCGTCCAGATCTGCAGTTCCTCTGAGGACGGCGTCAGCGGGGGGGTGTGTGAGTGTGTGTGCGAGTGTGCTGGCGTCCAGATCCGCATCCGGAGTGGTCACAGTCTTCGCCAGTCCGTCCACCGTGGCCTTCAGCTCGTACAGCTTCCTCAAGATCTCGTCCTGACGCTCCTCTAGGGCCTTTACTGTAGGATCCACCTCACCGTTCTGAAACACGCATACACATAATCATAAACACTGCACATAACAGCTATTTTAAAGGCGACCTATCATGCAAAAATCACTTTTATAAGAGGTTGTGTGTCAGCAGTGTGTGAATATCTCCAGCGTCTAATGGTACAAATGAATTAATTCGATTGTTTTTAATCAGACTTGATAAAAAGAGTCTGCAGAAATACTCTGATTGACATCCTCCCTTTGTATGATGTCAGCAGAGGGGGAAAGCCCCGCCCACTAGTGCCCATCTCTCCCTCATTAACATAAACAGCCCTGAGTGAGAAGCCGTTTAGTAGCCATTAAGAGTTTTGAAGCTGACACTATGCTGACACACAGGCATTTGTAGCTCCGCCCTCTTTTGAAAAAAGCTCATTTGAATTTAAAGCGACAGGTAACATGGTATAGTCTTCCCTGGATAAATAATTAAACACAATCTTTATTAAAGTAGCAAACTTTATAATTTCTTGTGTCCAGATGGTTCACATACGTACACAGTTGAAATGAGAATCATTCGCCCCCTGTTTATTTTTTCCCCCAATTTCTGTTTAACGGAGTGCAGATTTTCTCAACACATTTCTAATCATAATAGTTTTAATAACTCATCTCTAATAACTGATTTATTTTCTCTTTGCCATGATGACAGCAAATAATATTTGACTAAATATTCTTCAAGACACTTCTATATAGCTTAAAGTGACATTTAAAGGCTTCACTAGGTTAATTAGGTTAACTAGGCAGGTTAGGGTAATCAGGCAAGTTATTGTATAACGATGGTTTGTTCTGTAGACTATTGAAAAAAGATATAGCTTAAAAGGGCTAATAATATTGACCTTAAAATGGTGTTTAAAAAATTAAAAACTGCTTTTATTCTAGCCGAAATAAAACAAATAAGACTTTCTCTAGAAGAAAAAATATTATCAGACATACTGTGAAAATGTCCTTGCTCTGTTAAACATCATTTGAATGATGTATATATATTGAATGAGTATATATATATACTGTACACACACACACACACACACACACACACACACACATATATATATACATATATATATATATATATATATATATATATATATATATATATATATATATATATATATATATATATATATATATATAAAATAATAATTAGGAATGTCCCGATCCGATATTGATTTCGGAAATTCGTCCGATATCAGTCTAAAACACTATATCGGACTGCGTTAAAAATCTCCGATATAAGCAGTCCGATACTCTCTAAACTCCGTTACAGCTATTCTATCCAGCAGCGTTCAGAGCCAGCGTGCAAAGCCCACATGATCACAACACTGCTTGCTAGCAAAGTCTCTAATATTTAACATGCTCTTCTATTTTTTAATTCTTTTTATATATTCTTACGTAAAAAGTTCACATTTATGCAACCAATAGTTCATAAACTGGTTGTTTTTTTCCATACTGTTGCTGACTTTTGTTCTCAGTTTGATCTTGCCGTTCATACATTCAACTCAATGAAATAGGTAAAAGTAAAGTATTCATAATTTGTGCTGATATCGGATTTATATCGGTTCGTACTGATGGCTGCAATATCGGTATCGTATCGGAAGTTAAAATGTTGTATCGGGACATCCCTAATATATATATATATATATATATATATATATATATATATATATATATATAAAATTCTTTAAAAAATGATGTTGCAAGTTTCATATACTGCGATATATATATTGCGATAAAAATGCAATTGTACCAAATTACTTGAATAGCTTGTAAGAATTTAATTTAATTGTAATTTTAGATCGATTGGATGATTTTGGGGAGTGTATCTGCATAAAACGTCATTTGTGACAAAGTTAAATACAACAGATACAAATAAACAATAATCAAGCAGTATTCAGAAACAGAAATCAAATAATCACAGTATAATAATAGTAATAATAATAACAACAACAACACTGTATCTTTTTCATTGAGTAAATAATTATATTCTGTACAATATTTAATCGCACATTGCGATATTGATGCTGAAATTATATATAGTGCAGCTCTGATATATGTATATATGCAATATATGTCCTCCTGAGACCACGCCCATTGACTTGTGTCCTTTGTAGTGGACACTGTGTTTTCATACATTTTCTTTGAATTTTTTGAGCTACTCTGTCAAGTCCTGTTGTACTGTTTCTAGTGATATGTCATTTGATTGGCTGGCATGCTAGGAACCACTTCTTGCACTGCATCCAAAATGGCCGATAAACAAACAAGCACATTTTATGGGAAGGAGAGAGGCATGTACAATTGAGTTGTTTTTGTACTATTATATATATATATATATATATATATATATATATATATATATATATATATATATATATATATATATATTTGTTTATTAAAGTATCAGGAACAATACATTTAGCTTTCAAAGCGGTTAACTTGTTTGTGTTTCAAAATGTCATCCTTTTTAAAATGTCCACTATAGTGGACACCAGGACCATCTTAATGTAATTATTGACTGCATGTTGTAGGGGGCAGAACTGAAGCAGAGAGGATTCTTTATAAGAGAGTTGAGGGAGACTCTGATTTAGAGTCTGACAATCAGACAATTAGAGAATGACGATCAGTTTTAAATTGCTTTTACTTTAAATTTGTTTTGCTTTTTTCCAGAATAAACGGTTTCAGGAATTTCAATACAAAACAAAAAAATGGCTTTTGTTTAGTTTTTGTTACATTAATATTGGTTTAGTATTCCTTTACAGCCATATCCTGTAGAGTTTTGTTGTCTGAGTGGCAATCGTTTGGAACTAAAAGGGTCCTGTGGTCCACTACAGTGGACATGCTGTAAAATTAAAAATAAAAACAAAATGTAAAAACTCTAAATTGTAGATTTACCATAAAGACAACAAAAAAGAAGATATATTAAAATTAATAATGCATTTTTAATAATAATAATAATACATTTTATTTATAATGCGCTTTTCTCAGTGCCAAAGCGCTGACAGGCATACAAGGCAAACAAAGCAGAACAATTAAAACAGTCAGAAAATAAAATAGAATAAAAAGGCCGCAATAAAATATGAATGATTCAATACAATTAGCACTTAAATATAACTTAAGTAGCACTTCCTATTATTTTTTCCATCTAGAGAAAGTCTTAAATTTTAGTTTGGCTGAAACAAAAGTAGTTTCATTATTTTTTAAATTACATGCGAGGTCAATAACATTAGCCTAATAAAGATAAAAAATGTATTAGAAATATATTATGTACTGTCATCATGACAAAGACAAAAAATAGTTACTACCCTACTGAAAAAAACAGCTTAAACCAGCCTAGGCTGGTTTAGGCTGGTCGACCAGGCTGGTTTTAGAGGGGTTTTGGCCATTTCCAGGCTGGTTTCCAGCCATTTCCAGCCTGGTCTTAGCTGGTCGGGCTGGGAGATGACCAGCTAAAACCAACTTGACCAGCCTAGCCAGGCTGGGAGCCCAGCCAAAACCAGCTATGTCCAGCTTAAACCATGGCCAAAACCCCTCTAAAACCAGGCTGGTCAACCAGCTAAAAAGCCTAGGCTGGTTTAAGCTGGATTTTTCAGCAGGGCAATGAGTTATTAAAACTATTATATAAAATGTAGAAAAAACTATAAAAGTACATCTCTTTTATATTATATTATATTTATTTATATTATAATACTTCGAAAATACAAAACATTTCACAGGAGGGCGAATCCTTTTGCATTCAAATGGATGTATATACAGTAAATTTCCAAATGCACGAAACCCTATAATTGCATTTCTAAGCAGGTTTGGCTTAAATGTGAGACAAAATAATATAATAAATATCGCTAATGTAAATAAGACTATTTTAACCGAGCTGTCAATCACTATTTCCCAGCAAACATTGCATCAGACTGCCATTGGTCTTCAACATGAGCCACTGTTTACTTACTTTCCCCGTTTAAATTATAATCAGTAAAGCTAATATGTGTTGGTTTAACACTAAACCGATCCGATCGATCTGGATCTTACAGTGTAAATAATAATGTGATTACCTGAAGCGCGTGCTCGCCGAGGCTCGCTCCCTGCGCGTGGACATTCGGTAACTTGTACATGCACGTCGGCAAATCAACCGTTATGTCAGCGGGACTGACGGGCTTTACCTGGTACATAGGCATGGCGACAGGTAACGAGCGCACTCCGGTGCCAAAAATAAAAGCACGGGACCCAGATACGTGTGTTTTGGACGGGTTTTTGTCCGTCTAGCAGCCGGCTAACAGCAGCTGTGTGGAGAGAAGAGGCCGCTGCGCGTCACTTCCGGCGAGAGTGAAAGCGCGCAGTGACGTCACGACAGAAGCAAAAAATTTGAGTTTTGATTGATGTCAGTTTTTTGTGATCAATTTCTTTTTATTATATTATGTTTTGTTATGTTATATTATGATATACCAACAGCAAGAAGGTCGCTGGTTCGAGTCCGGGTAGGTCAGTCGATGTTTCTGTGTGGAGTTTGCATGTTCTCCCCGTGTTGGCGTGGGTTTCCTCCGGGTGCTCCCCAAAACAAAAGTACAATTCTTTTTGCTTTGGTATTTTTTTTTGTTTCTTTTATCGTGCATAGGTAATGACTTATTTCAATTTTTAAATTAGTTTTTTTACAGCCCATTTACATTTATGAATAAAAAAAATTCCATATATAATGAGCAAATTAACAATATGCCAAATTTTGAAGTCAACTGTATTCTCATTAAAAAAAAAAAACATCTTTATCTTTGAATTCTAATGCAATATTCGTACTCTGCTCAACAAAAAAGAAAAGATCACACCAAAACAACTGTGAATAAATACAATCATAAAATAAATGAACAATACTCTCTTCTTTATCGTTACAGAAAGTACATTTTAAATCAATACCTTTACAAAATCTTGCAATTACCTGTTTTACAGGGTAAATACGATTAACAATTTTAAATGACACCTCTTGCTTTTTGAATAATGGTTATTGTTTTTTTTTTCTTCTCATCTTCTATATTGTACTTGATTGGATGTTAATATAATGTTGTTATTGCCCTTGTATGTTCTGTGTTCTTAAATTGGAATAAAAAAAAGAAAAGCGAAAGTACAAACCGAAAAGTATGTGTTTAAGATAAAAAAAAACATTTTTATGACATTACTTTTTATTAGTTTAGTGATTTGAGGGCCCCTAAGCAATTCCAGCAATTCTCACCAGTCCTAAAGTGCACCCTGTATTTATTTAATGATTTGTTTATTTTTTTTTTATTTAGCTGTTTTTGCTTTATATCACTTATTCTTGTTTTTTCTATGTATCATTTTAATGCAACGTCCACATTTTAAATAAATTGTGTTTCTTAAAATGAACTCACAACTAAAATTAAATAAAAAAATAAAATATATATATATATGCAGTTGAAGTCAGAATTATTAGCCCCCCTGAATTATTAGACTGCTTGTTTATTTTTTCCCCAATTTCTGTTTAATGAAGATAATGAAGATTTCTTCAGCAAATTTCTAAACATAATAGTTTTAATAAATCATCTCTAATAACTGATTTCTAATAACTGATAACTGACTATATTTTTCAGGACACTTCTACACAGCTTTAAGTGACATTTAAAGGCTTCACTAGGTTAATTAAGGTAACTAGGCAGGTTAGGGTAATTAGGCAAGTTATTGTATAACGATGGTTTGTTCTGTAGGTTATCGAGAAAATATATAGCTTAAAGGGGGAAATAATATTGTCCCTAAAATGGTGTTAAAAAATTAAAAACTGCTTTTATTCTAGCCGAAATAAAACAAATAAGACTTTCTCCAGAAGAAAAAATATTATCAGACATACTGTGAAAATTTCCTCAATCTGTTCAACATCATTTGGGAGAAATTTGAAAAAGAGAAAAAAAAATTAAAAGGGGGACGAATAATTCTGACTTCAACTGTATATATGAATGAGTGATTGAATAAAAAAATATATGAATGAATGAATAAATATATGAATAAATAAATAAATAATGAACGAGTTAATAAATGAATCAATAAATAAATTGATATATGAATGAATAAATAAATATATGGATGAATAAAATGAATGAATGAATGAATGAATGAATGAATAAAATAAATTAAATAATAAATAATAAATACATATACAAATTATTTATTAAATAAATTTATGAATGAATAAATAAATAAATAAATAAATATATGAATGAATTAATAAATATTTGAATGAATGAATAAATATATGAATGAATAAATAAATAAATGAATGAATGACTAAACGAATGAATGAAAAAATAAATTAATATATGAATGAATAAATCAATGAATGAATGAATGAATATACAAATGAATAAAATAAAAAAACAATAAATATATGAATGAATACATTAAAAATAAATAAACATATGAATTAATAAATAAATATTTGAATGAATAAATAAATATATGAATGAATGAATGAATGAATAAATACATTAATAAGTAAATGAATTAATAAATTCAATTATTTTGCTTTTAAAACTAAATGGCTGTACTTTTTTATGATTAGGGGTGGGAAACAAACTAGAGAAGAGGTATTAATTAAGTTAAAATTGTAATTTGTTAAACTCTGACCATACCAAATATGAAAGAAAATGATGTTATATATAGTTTATCGGTATAATTCATACTTCTGGGTATTTAATGGGCCGCTTACCTGTCTTGAAATCCGGCCCTGCTTTCATATTACCTGCTTCTGCATTTCTCCTGGCTTTCTTTGTGCAGATATGAGCAGCAGAGGGCAGCAACACATAACATTTAAAGGAACAGTTCACCCAAAAAGCCTTTATTTACTCACCCTTTACTTGTTTCAAACCTTTATGAGTTTCTTTTTGAGGATTTTGAAGAAACCACTTGAGGGAGAGTAAATAGTAAATTTTTGGATGAACGGTCCCTTTAATACCATAGATCAGTGGTTCTCAAACTTTTTTCACCAAGTACCACCTTAGAAAAAAATCGTCTCTCCAAGTACCACCTTACGACGCAATTTTTTAACCAGTATTAAAAAATAGCGTCATAGGCCTAGTTAAGCAGCTACAGGTGTGCACAGTTTAAAACGATGCAGATTACTTCCTATTATTAAGAAATTATTAAGAATATGTATTAATGTCAGTCACTTTAAACATTTTAAATAGTCTGAACATTAACTGTGCTTGCAGATAAAAGAAAAGTTTTAGTTAAAACGTGCTTTTAAAAGTTTGTTAAAAAATGGCGCTGTTCTTAAAAAGTAAAAAGAAAACTGCTGTACTTAAATCTTAAGTATTCATAGTAGCCTATTCATCAAAAGCTGGAAATGCTGCTTGGACCTTATGAATATAGGCTATATGTCATATTCATACACTTTCAGACAAATCTTGAAATAAATGTTAAATGTACATATGACAGGGTTCATACAGGCACAGCCTAATGAAAATTAATTCCAGCACCTATTTTTTTTTTTTTCCAAGACTGACATGCTATGTATTGAAGACCTGAAATGTATTCTCAGCAACCCATAAAACATAGCATAGGAATAGATACAAATAAAAACCATTAATAATAATATTTATTAATCATATATTAATAATATAATAAACCTGCACTAAATGCTTGTGAAATCTTTTTGTACTCAAGTAAAAATACTATTACACAGCTAAAATAACACAAATTTTAGTAAATAATGCTAATATTAGGTAAAAGTACAAAGAACTCTTTTAAAAAGTACTAGTTGGTTACTTTTGAAAATAAAAAAATCAGATTTTCATTATGAAATCATTTTTTTAAGTGTAAACCTGATTTAATGGTTTGATTGCTTAAATCCCAAAGCTACATGTATAGGAATTTGCACTAAAATAGGAAGTATGGCCGATTTTTTTCTTTCATGACAATTAATCTTTTTCAATAGAACTGGTAAAACTACCAAATAATCTTTAAGGCCATAGAGACACTTTTTGCCCATTTTTAAAAAAAGATATTTTTAAGCTTTGAAAGGTTAAATTAAAGTATATGGTAAAAAGATTTTTATTTAGCCTTTTATTTACATATTTTACACTATTTTTCTTTACAATATGGCAAATTTGTTTCTTAAATAGCTGTCCATCACATGTAGATTTTATTTTACACTTGATCTTAATCTAAAATAGAAACTTAAAAAAATACAAGTACACTGTCAGTAAAAAATAAAACAAAAGACTTTATTTTACTTGAGGTATTTGAAATATGACAACACTACACTTATCAAAGCAGTGCTTTAAGAGCCTTATTGTAAATATTGATAAATAAACAATAAGTAACAATGGATTGCTTTGACCTGTAATGCTTTAACACAGATCAGAATACAGCTAAATGTATAAATCACACAAATACCTCACCCAGAAACATTTCCAGCATAATTATTTTGTCGTAAAGAAATAAAAAAAGATCCACCTTTGCTAAAAGTAAGTTTCACTTGACAACACAGCCAAATAAGAAGACCATTAGCATTGTCATCGATTATGCATCAATCTATTTTTAAATATTTGATAACTTTGAATTCTTTTGACTAAATTTAGTCAAGGAGCAAAGATAAATAATGTCTACTTTAATAGTGGAGAGATCACGATTGTATTCAATCTGAGCACACAGGCGATCATGAGAGCACTTGCAGTTCATTTGAAAAAAGCATATTTAAGAGCTCACATATCCGTTTTAGCGATTTGCGTACATGAATGCGCTCTCGTGTTAAAATAAAGCACTCGCCGCATTTCCAGAAATGAGTAATTGCGCAATACCTTCATTCCCGCGCCGCCATTCAGAATGTATTTAGAGGAGTGACAGGTCAGAGGCGAGTCGACTGGCTGTCGGAGAGCGAAACGTGTTTGTAGATCATCAAAAAGGCAGGAAATATGTCCGCGGTTTAATTTCTCAGCTAGACATCTCTATAGTGAAAACATCCGAGAAGCATTATTCCAACAAAACTTTTGTTTTTAAGTTGTTTTTTTCTGTCTCTGCAACACAAAATGCCTTTGTCCCACCCTTACATTTCACGCAACTAGACAAGGTCGACTGTGATTGGCTACTTTTCATGTCAGTCAAATCACGCTCCAGAATCCATTCTTAAACTTCGGAAACTGATTTTCAGCAGCTTATGACAAAATACACTAAAATAAACACTCTAAGCACAGCGCTGTGATCGTACGCTTCACAAAAAAGCCAATGCTGATCACATCGATGTTATATTACACATTAAAGGATTAAAAGTGTTAATATTTCTTT